CCCCCCCCCCCCCTGCCTCCCCCTCCCCCCGCCCCAACGCTGGTAATTTGCTCCGTGCGGAAGCGTGCTGGCTCGAACGCGTTGTCTACACGCACGTTGTTTATTGCCAACCGTCTAATACACTAAAAATGGAGCCAAAGAGCACTCCAGTCGAGCTCATCCAAAACATGCACGAAAAAACTGCCACCTCCTGCAAAAAATATCAAGCAACTACAGTTGTTAGTTTCTCTCCACACGAGGAGAGAGAGCCCCGAGAAAAGTATGAGGTTCAGAGGTGGTGGCACCATCGGTACCGGACAAGAAACTGTTGTAATGCTCTGTGAATATTGTCGCAGGTTTGAAAGGGAGGAGTGTCGACCTCTACTAGACCAGCCAGTCTTCCAGTGATCGTCGATCTACCAGGCTATCGTAGTCTAGTCGTCAGCCTCGGAAGGCGTGATAGAAAGAAACCGCCGTCCCAACGCTTAGTAGGCTTTCCAACCCGACAAACACCAGCCCGATCACGGCCATGATCACATCTAGCCGCAATACGTATGTCTGCAGAGCCAGGCTGAAGGCGTAGAGCAGTATGACGGGCACCGCTAGGCCAAGAGACCTGTCGGTTCGGTTCGGGTTGGGTTGACGACACAAGAAGAGTAGCAGACATGAACGGAGCGGCCGTGGGTTGTAGGGTCCATGTTACCGTTGATGATTCCCTGAATCTGTGTTTTCCCAACCCCCATCCTGGCCTCATCGCCGGCGGCATCTCATGAACAGGCCGCTCGTTAGTAGCGTGCTTCCGTCTAGGGGAAATGTCAAGCAGCAAAGGGGTGCATTCATCGACTATCCCACACCAGGTTTACCAATTTACCAACGATGTTATTGACGGAGGCGCCCCTAGTCTTGCCTATCTTTGTTGCTGGACTGGAGACGCGACCTATAAGCGTTGCACGTGGAAGCATCGAGGCAGCAGCGGGTGTCAATGATATATTCTACCCGATAGCGTCCGGCGCAACATGTTCCCCTTTCAAAATAGCCACGAGAACGCAGCATGCAGAACTCACATGGCGAGAGGGTTTATTTGTTCTGCCTTGTTTCCCTTTGACGCAAGAAACAGACGCATCATCTCGACCCCTCCGTAAAGAATCGTCAAACTGCCACGGTGCCAGTTGCGTGGAGAGACCAAGTTGGTGCGACAAAGTACAGAGGAAATATCGAACAGTAGTGAGTGTTGGTTTCGTCGCTCGAGAGCCGTCAGTACTGCGAAGGCAACACCTTATAGGGACTATCCACGCTGTGGCCGTGGTCGTCAAGTCTGATTGCCGTTGAATGGTCTTAAGTCGGCGTTTAACTCCACCGGTAAAACGGTGCGTGTTGGGCTTTACTGGGTTTACTTAGTGTCAACCCGCCGAGTGGCGTCTACCATTGTGTCATCCCTGACTTGCGCAGCGAAATGACGGAAATGATGGGAATCAGAACCTGTGAGGGTTGAAGGTACTGTTGATGTTTGAAGACGATATTTTCTTGGCGTTCGGAACACTCCTGGACTGCCTGTCGAAGGTCAGTATCTCGCCCGTACACTTTACAACATCCCTTTTTTATGGCCGGCCACAGGCAGGCATGGCCCAAACACAGCACACGAAAGACTGCAAAGAGCCGGCACACCCTTGCCACTCACGAAAAGACTCAATGCTTAGGTGGGGCACGCAGCCTTTGCGGCACTCCTGTTAGCGCCTATCACTTTGCTTAGACTTGGACACTGCAGCGAACGCCCCTCTCCTCCAAAATATGAGTACACTGAGAACGGAACAACAGTAAAAAGTCGGTGTGTGTGTTCGTGGTAAGCTTTCTCCTCCCGACCAGTCCCTCCTCATGTCACCCACATGTGTGACAGCGGTTTCTCGAGTTACCCAGTGAAGGAAGCCAAACACGCATCGTGTACTGATATGGCTTTCCGTCCTATGGTAGATCCCACCTGCTTTTACCAAACCTCCTGTGCCGGTGTGCCGCCCGCCCGAACTACACAACGACATGCTTTTGTAGGCAGTGGGTTAACTTTGTCTGCGCCGCTTTCGCGCGTTACCATGGTCGAAAGTTTGCCACAAAGCACGCGCAGCGAAGAAAACTGCATGGTGTACATGACCTTTTGGATTCGGTAGCATTGTGCAGTCACATCACCTGACTTCTAGTTCCAACGCCCAACTCGGGTAGTAATATCTCCACCCCTTGTAGGCGTAAGTGGAGACCGTCAGGGCAAAAAAGCACGAGCTAAACCATTGGTTGAAGTACAGAAGCACCTGTTGGACGGTACGCCGCATCACGCCATGCATTATGTTCATTTCGTGAAGTCCACGAAAGCTTGAAGCATCCTTCAACATCGTTTTTTTCTCTTTTTATTATTCGAAGTTATGCACTCTCTAGGACACACACGAGCAAGTTCGGGTACTTGGTTGCTACTGCCGCATCTTGTACCGGTACAACAGAGGCAACATAAAATTCGTTCACAACCAATTTATGTAATTCCCGCTCACATCGCAAAGTGTTCGCTAATGCTTAGTCTATGATATCTACTCTACAGTGTAGACTAGTCCGACTGATAATCTGAGATCATTACGGAGGTGCCAACGTCGTGTCCCACCGCCCGGTGCGCGCTAAACACAGTGTTCTACAGCAGAACTTGTACTCCTTTAGAATAATCGATGCTCGTAATAGGGTTCTTCTCGACGATCGTTTGTACACAAGAGAACCAGAGGGTTCCCTGACTGATTGAGCGGTCTACTCTGAAGACTTCACCGAGAGATTATGGGGAATTTCCGCCAAGAACGTGGACCTGTAGCAGCAAAATAACTCAGTCTGGCAAGTGCGGGTGGTGAACAGCAATGATTGGCACAGACAGATCAGATGTGAAAGCGTTGATGAGGTGTTGGCCCGCACACCGCTGGTGATCTTCGCCCAATAGATGCGTGGATGAAACGGATGGTCCTGCAACATCCATTACTCTAGGCGGCCAGTCTACCCATGAACTGCTGTTGCACACATACCTCTAGCGGGAGAGAGGAGAGGATCGCTTGTTGCTCATCATGGCGTGGCATCGCGGCGTCAACGCTCAAGATTGGGTTGTACACATCGAAGGCGACGTACTGTAGACAACCAATTTCACGGAAGATAAAATATCTTACGAATCGTTAGCTGTTGCGCCGCATATCATCCGGCCTCCAGGCTCTGACCTCTTATATCTTTGCGTACATGCGTATGTTTGCTCCATCTCGAATGGCAGAGCTTCCGCTCAACGCGACAGCCCATGGATCTAGAAGATGTTGTTTCCAAGCTACGCGGAGCGAGGCGAGAACGCCCGGTAACAGCGAATGAAGGCTGCCCGAATGAAAGCGCCGATCGAATCCGTTCCGCGGTCGCCTCAAAGTGGATCTCTGCGGTGGCATCATCGTGCACAGCGTTGCCACGCCGTCCGCAGAGCTCGCCAGCAATAGGTGCATGCCGTGGTACCCTGAGGAAAGCTTCCAGCAATACTTGTTTCCGTGGCATGGGTGGTTTTTCTCTTTGTAGCACCAATGGTGGAGACGCTCATCAACATCTAAGGACTTCTTACAGCAAGTATGCATCGCTTTTTTTTGTCTGCTGTACCGAAGATTGCGTATGATACCACGCCCCTGGGCGATTTTCAAAGCTCGTTTTTCAGCTGCAACATAAGTGAACGCCCCGGCAATCACAGCGTTTGAACTGTCATCGACGGCCTTTCGTATAATAATCATTTGATTTTTGGGTCCTCTTCATCGTGGAGTAATCGACCTTTCTTTGAATATGTGCCCAGACCAAGGGGGTGTGGTATCTTGTGCAACCTACTAGTCTATATGCCGGAAAATGTTACATACCATCACGAATACATGTACAGAGTTGAGCCTGTCCTGTCGGGAGGGCCCTGCAACACATCAATATTGTCATGATGTACTTCGAAGTAACTCTCAGTGAGCCTGATTTCGCCCACCGACTGCAGGTCGTCGTACACCTCGCGTGGATAGCGCCGGCCGTGCTGCGGCCCCCTCCTGGGCTCGTGGAAACCCCTACGCAAAGAAAGCTTTCCCGCGAGCAAAGACGTGGACGCGTAGAGGGCGTGCCGCAGGGCTTTCTGGGAAGCGACCCCCCTCGGGGTGGGACGTGGAGGCAGAGCAGGAGGAGGCCGCACTTGCCGAAAAGCGGAAGAAAATTTCGGCAAAAGACCTCTACAACGAACTGGTCAGCGCTACGGCCCGTACCAGAGGAAAGAGCAAGCTGACGGGACCAATACCATCATTTGCTGCCGAAGGTAAACCAACCATGTGTGCGTATTCAGTGGCTGGCCTCCCTCGATGAAACGTGCGTACGGCGCTGCTGTATCGCAGCATTGCCTACGCCACAGCAGTTGCTTAATTCTTACCTGTAAATGTCGACAACAGAGAGTTACAGTAGTGACGGTCTCGCAGCCTACCTACTGATTTCTACGTCTTACGCATATCATGCTGTCCAAGTCACTGCAGGTGAAAGCTGCCATGGAGGGTACCCACATGCACCATTTCACGACTCTAAGGCGCACTCTCAGAGAATAGCTCGCGATGAAGACGCCGAGGACTGTCCGGTGACTTCTGCACAGAGAGACACCTCGGCCGTGGATGTTGTACCTGACAATGCACCGCTTGTACCAAAGGATCAAGAAACGAGGGGCGAAGATTTGGACTTGGGGGTGATGGGCTCAGATACCGCCGCTACGACCGGGGAGGACCTGGAGCATGAGCAGGAACTTCAACAGCAGCAGGAACAACAACGCTTCCAAGTGGACAGTAGTCCACAGCGCTTAATATCTCATTCTCATTCTCTTACCGACGATGACCGTCAGGCCACCGTTGCGGCAGACGAAATGCTGTCGGGGCTATCTCTGGTGGATGCTCCACTCTACCCTCGAAAGTCTGATCTAGGCGATGCCGCCACTATCAACCAACGAACGGGAGAGGGAGTTGTGTCCGGAAATAGAAGCTGCTCGAACTTGGCTGCTGACAGCGTTTGTAGCTCGTCGGGGTCTTCCGTCTCCAGCAAAGAAAACCGGTCGTTTTACGAAGACGACTCGGAAGAGGCTGCTAGTGGCATACTGGAAGATCTTACGGAAGGAGTCGACAGCTGGCTACAAGACGTGCACGGAACCGGACGAGAGGCGTTCTTTGGGCTTTTCAAGTGTGACGCCACGCCTCAGTTCTGTCGCCCTTCCCTGGCGGTTATTGGCAGGCACGTGAGTATTCTACGGTGCCGAGGTTGGGGCTTGGCGTGACCGATGAGTATTGGCTGGGGTTTTGTCTTATTTTCACCCCCGTGCGTTAGCTACCAAGAACCACGAATACGCGTTCCACCTCGTGAAGGTTTTGTCAAGAGAGCATTGCCCAATGTATGGATAATGCGTTACCTCCACCACCCACACAGATAGCCGCCTCACGTTATTGTTGTACGCCCCACAGGGAATCGGATCCAACTTCGTCGACGGCGAGCCCAACATCAAATATCTTCCACAGAGACCAGTCGAGCTGCACGAAATTTCGGCATCACCACCCTCTGTTGCCCCACCTCCGGAAACAGCTGCCTTTCGTCGTAGGCCTACTCCCCGACCTGCCTCACCGGTTAGGCCAAACGCCGCAACCGCAGCCTCGGTGGCAGTAGCCTCTGCAAATGCTACTACAGCTGATGGCGAGGTTCAAAAGTCGGCGAAGTCGAACGCACAAGACCCAAGCCCTAGGGCCCGACAAGTTCGCTTATCGATACCCAAGGAGAACGCTGTCACTAGCGAGACTCAGAACCAACAGGTTGCCCCGCCCCCCCCGACCACAGCTTCTACAACAGCAGCGGCTGCTCGCGATCCGCCCCATTGTTCCCCTGGCACCCGTAATGGGCCCTCAGGAAGAAACGCACAGGGAGGGGGGATTCGTCCGTCAAGCATACCGCGTTCTCCTACTGGATCTCCGACCAGAACCCTCTTAGCCGGGGTTCTGCAAGGTGTAAGTGTCATTGAGAAAAGGAACCCATCGAAACAGCCTGCACCGAGGCGACCGCAAACGGCTGATGGTCGAGATGTTGAAGCTACGAGATACAAAGTGCCTTTTCTCGACGACCCCCACGACCCCGTCATGATCGCTCACAGGTGTGTGATCTGTGTGGAACTTGTGGCTTTGACACAACAAAAGCACGCTCGGTGCCAATGATTCCATGTTGCGTCGGAAAGTTTCCTGCAGACGCTGAGCTTTCAAACCTCTCTAAATCGTGGGTTACCTTAAGTTCGACCGGTCAATTGGCACCCGACTACTCAAAATAGAACATCCCGTCAGAGAAACATACTACAATAGCTGACGTAGCACGCTGTCTGGCTTGTGACCTAGGAAAAGTCAAGTTTGCAAATGCCTTTCCGATAAGGTTTCATCGCTGTTTCGTACTCTCGCAGGATGATGAAGCGACCAGCGAGCCCCCGCCGGGACTATCTCATGCGCTGTGCCGAGCGACAGCTGCTGCCGGTCCCCGTGATCAACAGAGCCCTCAGAATCGATCCGCAAACGGCAATGGCAGACCCCATGACGGGCGACGCCAGAGAGGTTCACACGACTGGTGGAAAAACAGGGGAGGCCGAAGAAACAAATATCGGAGGTATACCCGCCGCATGTGTTCAGAGTCAGATCGAGAGGCTTGCTTGATCGTTGCCGCCCGCAATAATTCCCGTTCTTCATTGACCCGATTGTCTTGTCAGTGGAGGTCACCCTTTCCGAATGTGCCCACATCGCCTTTCCGATCAACGGGGTGAGCAAAATTATCACCGTTACCCCCCAAACCTCCTTGTTCCCTCCATGTTATCGGTACACCACTCACCATTTCTATATCTGCTTCTCGTGGCCATGACGTCAGGGAGAGGAGGACGACACCAAGAAGGCCAACGTGAGGCCTGCATCAGGCTTCGACATTATTACCTCGGAGAAGCCAGAGCAATATGTCTGCGGAGCGCCATCACATCCGTTCCGGTTACTCTCAGAGAGGTGAAACCGAGATCTGAAAACAATGTCGGAAGGGTCGACGCCTTCGGAGTCTACTTAGTCTGTAGCAACTTGTCGTCGCCTAGACTAGCTTAGTAGCACAGCGAAACACGAAATAGGTGTATCGTTCACATGTGCGTACGCGTAAGGAGTATCGCGTCCCGTGGTATCGACTTCTATGAACCAACAGCTCCGTCGATACTCCACGATCTCGGCCGTTTGTTCGGTGTACCTCTGCTCTTGTCGTGTCGGGTGCGAAAAAGGTGGAGCTAGTAGACTCTGGCCTTGATGGGCCGGCCTCTGAGACTCTTCTCGGCGTACTCCTGGAAAGGGCGGGGACTATCAGCAAGCTCGACCTCAGCGGGAACCGCATCGGACCAAAAGGGGCCAGCGGATTATCTCGTCTCATCGCTCACAAGCGTGAGTTTGTTTGGTTAGCTCGCGTGTTCTTCACCTTGACACTCTCCATGAGCGACAGCTGTGGTACATCAGTACAGCAGATATGGCGGCTCCGATATGTATACTCCAGGAAAGCGGGAAAAATAGAGCAAGACATTCCTCTCTGACCCTCTGCCTGTGTAGGTTCCAAATTAAGTTTATCAGTGCAGAATCATCCCATACAACAAGACGCTGAACTGCGGGTTCTTTCCGTCCTTGACCCCAGGACGTTCGTAGTATACCGTACCGAGTAGCTGGTTCAGCATCGACTGTTCCAGTTAACGAGGCTCTGTTTTCGTTTGATAACGATCACAATTTACGGCCATGAATCTGCTTTGAGCCCGCGTTGGTGGGTGTTGTCGTTGAATCAAGGGCAATTACGACTTTGTATGCATATAGTTCGAGACAATCGGCACACACCACCACATTCAACTACCCCTTCGCAAGTTTCAACTCGAATCATGTCTCGTTCTTCGATTGTCGAGCAGAATGCGCTTTGCGCTCTCTGAAGCTAGACGGAAACAAGGCCGGCGACCGCGCAGTCATGACGGTGTTGAAAGCCCTTGCGAGGTACCAGCCGCCCGTATCCCACCTCGGCCTCTCGGATAACGGACTCACACTCAAAGTTATGCAGGTACAGAGTGATACGCATTGGTGCTGAACCTGGCTTTTCCTGAAAACAATAGAAGAAAACGATTACACGGTGTGCAAGTTTCACGTAAAAACCCACTGTTCGAAGCACCCCCAACGAGTTGTAGCACGAAAAATCTATTTGCAGCATTGTGTTTCAGTGTTTGTAGACCACAGGTTGCTGCCGTTGTTCAAATGCATACTGAATACCATCGTTCAATTCAACCTGCAAGTATTTGACTCAGCAGGGTAGGTAACTTACTTCCGATTGAACGTCCCCCTAAAGAGTCAACCTCTTCCTACAAACGACCCAAACGACTGATGACCACAAGAAGCGGCTCACGTGCAAGCGCAACGTGACAACGTACTCGCTCCTCGAAACGGTAGGACTACGGTGCTCTACCAGAGGACCAAACGACTACGAACACGAATATCACTTAGAACACAATTATGTCGGATTGCCAAATCAACCACACAAGCGATCCGCCTCTTCTTTCCCCTCTCGTTTGGATGTGATGGACGAAAGGAGTGCGCTGGTCCTCTCCTCACCGGTGGGCTTTCGCTCCTCAGCCTCGACCTGGGTTGGAACCACTTGAACCAGCAAGCAGTAGAGGAGTTGTCCGATGCTCTGGCGTGGAACAAATCCGTCACCAAGGTACCTGTGTTCTTTAAAGGGGGCCGAGTTTTGAAGAGGGTACGACGACTCGTAATCCACACCGCCGTTTCATGGCCAAGCACGCCCTCGATTGGATGGTTGGCCAGCGTTCTGTCTTTCGGCCTCTAGAGCATTCATGTAGGCGTTTCTGATCGGACTGCAACTGGTGTGCTGGTATCGTCCGTAGGACAGACCAAGAAAACGCGCGTCCTACACAATATGCTTGTTAATCACGGCCTAGGTAGGCCCACAACTAGGTCACCCGACGTACACGTACCATCTGCCTCATGTGGTTGTTGCTCCTGCCACTGCTGTTGCTGACCCTGCTGGTGCTGGTGCTTCCCAGATGAACTTGGAGTTTAACAACAGTGGGGAAGGCGTGCATGCACTCGCAGAAGCTTTACAGAACAACAAGACCCTCACCAATGTCAATCTCACGGCAAACCAGGTGAGGCTAGCTGATTTTACGTAGGGCGGAAGCTTGGTGGAAAGTGTACGTGTGACGGTGCGAGAGCAACAAACCATATAAAATATGATCATCGTGATCGTTTGGTTCGTTCCTCGCGCTCCGCGGCTGATTCACACTCGTCGAGCCTCAACCCCTAAAAGTGGTGACGTTGTCCTTGAGTTGTGTGACTCTCGTTCCTTTCACGATTGCTGATGGGTTCGTCATCTTGAAAAGGAACAGCGGATAAGCCGGAGGCGGAAAATTGTAACGTCCACTTCGCTCATATGCAGCCCCCCCCCGTCCCTCGTAGAACTTCTTCTTGCGATTTCTCACCCAACCTTTCAAACAAGTAACAAGTAACGGCGCTGATATAAGACCGTCTAGACTATGTGTTTCTGTAAGCTTCCGCCCTCGAAAGTGCACTTGAAATCGTGAACTGGAGAGATAGCCTTCCGAAATGACCCTACACTTCCACTCTAGGCTACAGGACACTACACAGATATGCAAGAGAAGAAAAATCAACGTCTGCATGCACGTGGTACTGTTGCTGTTTGATTTTCATTTGTTTCACGTGGTTTCGGCCAGGTTCGATGGGAGGGTGCAGTCGCGCTGTCAGAGGCATTAGTTGCAAACACCACTATCCGGAATCTGGTGCTCAGGGACAACCCGATTGGCACAGCGGCGGGATTGCAGATGTCGATCGCCCTTGCCGAAAAACATGGCGACCCATGTCTAGTTGACATCAAGGTAATAGAGTTACAGCGTGCTTGGCGGTGAAAACTTCGGAGAGAAAATCATTGTGTTTTCTGTTTGAGACGAGCTTGCCATTCGGGGCCGCCATCTCCTTAGTTGCGGAATGAACGTTGCTTCCATAGAGAAAACGGAAACTGAAACACGGGCAGGTTCGTTGGCGGCACATGAGCACAAAGCTCCGATAGCAAAGGCCACCTAGGCCTAGCTGAACATTTCTCTTATGATGTTCATAATTCCTTCATGGTAGTAGCAACATCTCTCCGATTCGCAGTTTCTTCAGGCCTATTCTCGTTTGACGTGGTGCTTCACTTGCAAATTGGAGCGATGGACTATTGTTCCCTGTCTGTGAAGTAAGGTGTTTTCTACCATGAAGTTTCTTTTCCGTACCCCCCCTATCAGTGTCAGACAATGATTCTTTGTGGGGTTTACCTTGGGGGATTAAATACACTTAATTCTTTGCCATGAAGGGTACGGATCAAGGGGTGCCGGGCTGGTTCTCGACGTTTTACAATTGCCCACAGGCTAGTAGAACAGCGGCCAGAAATATTTATGTGATGAGTTGAACCGAGCGTCAGCGCTGTAATATCGCCATAGGACTACCTTTTCTTTACTCCTCAGGGTTGCACTTGTTTCTCCGACAAGACCGATGTCTGGAGCGGAATGAAGGCCAGAAAGGGGGCTGCGAGAGCCGCGCGCCTTGCCTTGGTCAGGGCACGAAATGCAGCGATGTAAGTACCTATGGGTGACCTCGAACTACTGACTACTCCTACGTTGAGAGCGGGTGCGAAAGGTGTGCCGTGTTTTTTGAACGCCCCTCCCCCCCCGACCGAAACTCCGATCTTGCTAGAGTAGCTCATTCAAGGACGTTCCCACGACTCTAATGAAGGTGCTGCAGTTTTCTGCTTGTCGCAACCAAGGGGTTTGTCCATGCTCCTACAGCAAGGAAGCCTTGCAAGGGGCTCTTGGTCTCCAAGGAACTAACATACCGGTATCAAGCTGTCGCACTCAAGGCTTGCTCGCCAATGGGTGTCCGTGAAGTCAACGTGGGCCTTCCAGTTGCTTGATGTCGTACACAAGGGGTTGAACATGCGTACGCCTGGAGCCGAAAGGCCGGTTGCGAAAGCACGTAGAACCTGTAAGCCGGGGTCTGGGTCGAGCCCAGAGAAGAACCTACTGGGGATCCGTGCTCGTATCAGACGACCCCCGGTACCATACGGCGGTCGTCAGCACCGTTGCTCTGGATTGGCAGCAGATTTTTGTCTCGCTTGGAAGCCTTGGGGTACATGAGCAGAAGTGCTCGATGACCGATAACATCCTGATTGTTGGCTTTGTGTGAACCAAAGCTCGCTGTTGGTGCTGTGAAGTGCTTCTTTGCCTCCTAAACTGTCGGTTCCGTTTCTATGTGCCCCTTTGGCAGACGGGCCAGAAAGAAGCTTAGAGAGAAGGAGAAACGCGACCAAACCTCTTCGGTGAGGTGATTCAGCCTAGACATGTATGCCCGCATGCAACGACGTTGACCAATAACTCTGAATTGAAGTTTTTCCCGACGCACTTTGTGTGTTCAAGAAAACTGCTGCAAGTACGTCTCCGGGCTCAGTGAAAAGCTGCAGCTGCTTGTTTTCGATGTGGACACAAGCGTTCTAGATGCATGGTAGGTATTGACACACAGGGCTGACGCAAGCTGCGGTAGACTCGGCGTTGAAAAACCTCCCCTTTAAAAGGAGTTTCAGAACACACAATACGACCAGATGAAACAGGCATGGTATGAAAACGAGTCGGAGACGTGCAAACTTTGACCACAGGCAACAGCGTCACAGGACGGTTGGACAGAACAAGCATTGCATACGTAAATAAGTACGGTCTACCGAACTACTGATTTTTTGTTCTCTGTCACGTATTGTTTTGTCTTGACGCCTTGCCACCACGACAGAAGACCAGCGGGAAGAAATCAGGGGCTCAACTAGACAGCACCGGTGCCAGCAAAGGTGCCCCTCAACCTCCCGAGAATGTCCCGCCACCCCTTCCACCACCCACACGGCCCGATGAACATCTCTTTTGGCTGGATCTCACAGTTGACAGAAAATGGGATTTGCGGCTGAACAGGCCGTTCGACAGGGCGGTCGGAAGAGAGGTAAGCCGAATTGAACAGCAGCCACAACAACAATCACCAGCACGACGACAAGGACGACGATCACGACAACGACGGCAGCGTTAACATCAGAGGCCAGAACTGCATTTTTCTACTTTCAGTGCCGGTCGAACAATGCAAGTTGCTGACATATTGTTGCAATCCTACATTTTCTGAACAGTCGAAAACTCCTCTTAAGATCCATAGCAACTGCACCAGTGAAGATTTTGTTATCGTTCTCTTCAGGAGGATTGGTACTAACATCACTGAACCATAACCCTGTGTAAGCTTTATGGTGACAATACTTGTAAAAAAAGGTCCTGAGGACATTCAACTTCTCCACTGGGGGTAGCTTGGCGGGCATACTCCGAGTATCGGGTGGAGCACCGCGACAAGTGACGTTTAGGCGCCGCGAAAAACTACAACCGGCATCTGGAGATGCGACCCGAACCGGTCTGTCGTCAGGTCGAGGACGCAAGGTGTGCTTGCGGTTGTCACAACTCGTTTAGTTGTTGTCCTTTTGGGGGTAGTGAACCTTGGAGACTACTTCGAGCTCTTGTCCCTACACAATATCCTCTGTGTTTTTCCAAGCACCTTTTATTTCACACAACATCACCGGATCCGTTATTGAATACTTCCTCTGTATCATAAGTTAGGGTACCTAAATGCAATAGATTGTCTGGGTGCAACCGTGTTAGTGATGGTAGCATAGTCGGGTTTGTACGAAAGATATAACAAAGACGAAGCAATAGAAAAAAAGAAAAAAAAAAACGAACATCTATTTCTGTACCTAATATTGGTCAAAATATACCCTATTTTGGCCTGTTTTGGGAATATTTTTGGGAAAATATTTTGAGATTTTTTTTGAGAATTCTCGACAAAATTCTCAAAACCATCTAATATTAGTACCCTACCGGCCCACTACTCACTCTTGCGATGGAATCGCCCCCCAGCACACCACCTCGCAAAAGGGGCACCGAATTATCGGTTGGTAGGCGCTATGCCATGGCGGTAGGAATTGTCGACTTTTTCTATTTTTTTCCCGCCACTAACCAACCCTTCTTTTTGTCCCGCAAGTGTCTTGATTTTAGTGTGCCCCCCCAAGTGTCTTGGTTTTAGTGTGGTTCAC